ACGCATAGGCTATGACCTGGAAACAGGGGTGGGTTTTTCGTTTACTAACCACCCCCATCCAAGGAACGCTTCCAAACGTGAGATCTCTCACCTGAACAAGGGGAGAAGATACTTTTTCTTTACCCTTTTCCCTTGCAGAGACGGAGACAACTGAGACGTGAAGAAAACGTGTAGAATTGCAATATAGAACACTCGCAGTGGTAGGGGCCGGAACGGGGCTTGCTACCGGAGGAAATCTGGACGCTCGATTGGCCGTGGCCGTCTCCTGTCCTGTGCAAACTGACTGACTGACTGACTGATATTGCACCACACATTTCTGCCTTTCAGAAAAATTGCATATCGAAGTGTTGGAAGCCAAGGAAACTCGCTGAAGCACAGAAATCTGGACGCTCGATTGGCAAGAGCTGCAATTCGTCTTGTGAGAACTGAACTGACCTTGTGTGTTTTACGGAGTCGAAAACCTAACAGCGTAAATAGCGCTGTGTTAGGTTTTGTTGTTGTCAAGTGTTCTGCTGTTTGTCAAACTATCGTTGGAAGTAACTATATTAACAATCTCCATAAAAGTGATAGTTGGATTCAACGGAAACTAAAAGTTCCAAAAGATTGTGCGATTCACGTAAAGAGCCGCTTAGCTCTTTGATATACCGCCGTAAATTTATTCAAAGGGGATGTGTGTGGTGTAATGGAAGTATTGGTGGAGTTCGATTACGCCGCTGAGGAGCATGATGAATTGACTATTAAGAAGGGCGATATAATAAAAGATGTGTCTCATTTTGAAGAAGGGTGGTATATTGGAAACTTGAACGGAAAAGTCGGAGTTTTTCCAGATAATTTCGTTAAGGTGAGTTTATAAAATGCGCACATAACTCTCCTCTTAAGGTCATCGAAAGTTCCACTGTATCCAAGAAACAGGTGAGCTACTCTTCTGTATCATTGATAAAATATTTATATGCGAATATGCATACGTTTCTATAGTAAATATATATATATATTTATGTATGTTATACAAACTTTTTGTAAATCTCTATGCTCAAATGTGAATATTTTTGAATAGTGTAGTAAGATGTATATATACTCAGTTTATGGAATACGAAATCTTACGAATACGTTAGGCCACCGCAGTAACTACCATGGTAGTACATTGCACTGCATTTAAATATATTGTAATTACAGTAGAGATTTTATCTGCTTAGACTTAAGCATATTTACATGCAATTACCCGTGCAGCATGAGCGTTACCTGGACGTCCTCTGGAAGTCACCTGAGTATCCTCTGTGTGATCCCCTTGGCCTTCATCCGAGCGTCCAATTAGAGACACTTGGGGAGGCCTAGGTGACGGTCGTAAAACAATTTGGGCAGCAGCGGTGTATAAGTTGTCAATTAACCTACAATTATAGACCCCTCAATCCCGAAACGTTTATGACACTTATAACCATTTATAAGCGGTTGAAGGCTGAAGTACATATATGTAGTTCAACCTTGATCAAACTAAATATCCTATTAAGCGCCTTCTTATCATTGAGATGTATCCTGTGCCTTATGCATACATATGGCGCAAGCTATAAGTCACGCAACTGGGTGTGCACAAACTTCGTATTCGGCAACTCAATCTCCGATTCCATTGATATCTTCGAACCCAAAAGGAACGCAATAATATCAGTTAATATGAAAATACTTTTGTTTATATATTTACATAGTTAGAATAATAAACAAGCCACTGGTTTTTCTCATGTTCAATGGCTTTTGTGTTTAGAACATCATCTGAAATGGAGGTTAAGAATTCGGTTTATGGAAGCGGTTAACCGAAATTCATATCGCGTAACATTGTAACTTACTCACGGATCCACTTACTTGTTAAAAGGTGTTCAGCTGTTATCGAAGAACGACCAGGTTGAATCCATCTCTGAATCCTCTCTGTGATGTACTTTATACTTTCATCCTGGAAGTTATGTCGCATCACAGCGTCAAAACAAATTCTATATGTTTACGGATAATAGGACACACGGTCTTGCTAACAACCAGGGCTTGTTTGCTTGTTTGATTGTAATCAAAAGCTAATTTATTGTCTACAGTTAGAATAACCTTAATCTTTGTAATCCAAAAGAAGCAAAGTTTACACCGTTATATGTATACTAAAGAGATATCTCTTCAAAAGCAAAAATCATTGACGATCGGAGGGATCCCTCCGGGACTCAAATAGGACTCTAACAAGAGAGAGTTTCCTTAAGGGAACGACGGATACACATCATTCCATTGGGACGATTAATAATGACATCGTAATGGGACGAAAAACCAGCCCTTGGTCTGGCATGGGAACACTTGAACATCTATCCTAGAAAACAGAATGTAAAACCAAATACAATTTGAAGTTTATAATCACACTACTTTTGAGATCCACACACCACTTTTCACTTCTCAGAAACAATGTACTTCTTTGGATGAGCTTTCTTTTTTTCCATTGGTGAACCTTCTACCACAAGACTTGCAGCTAACAGCCGTTTTTGTTATTATCTTACTAAGATTTTCTTCGAGTCAAAAATTGTCATTCATTTATCCAATCCAATTTATCCAATCATTGCTATCAACCTTAACAAAGAGTATTGGTAAGTAAAAAGAAATATTAGTATTGACATTGAGTGTGTGTTTGGGGTGGAGGAACAAAAAGGATTGGTGTACCCGAAAAACCCGATGCGTTGAGTATTGATAACACCGGGCAAATGTATACATCATCAGAGAACTTACGATACATTAGCTAAACCCGCCGCTGTACATGAAGCCAAATATTTACCTTTGGATATCAAACCTCGATTTTAGTGGCTAGCAGGATCCCTAATCAAGTACTTCGTAACTTTACTTTCAGCGGTCACAACATTCAATAAATGGTGTTTTGAAAAACAGAACAAACGCTTATAGTTAACAGTAGTAGCGCAGTCCTTTAGTCTCAGTGACCGTGACGCTTTGAATCTTGTGGTCCGCGGTTGGAGCGCCGCCACCGCAACTCAACTTTGGCGATGGGCATCTTTGTTATCGTCCGGTTCAATACCACGTTTATCTTGGCGGGGCCTTATGTGGTTCGCCACTCCAAGTTCCGGGCTTAATTTGGGTCTTGGTGACTATAGGGTTTGCCCCGTCTGCTGTTTATCACACTAAGGCGTGTACCCGGTCGACGGTCATCATCTTGTGCGGATGGCTCAATCACTTTAGAGCATTAAGCTTGAATGCATTTCAATGCAGCACCTCATGAGGAATCAAAGATCTTTCAAGGAGTGAAACTCATACTCAAAACCATCAAGAGTGCCTGGTGATTTTGAACAATCGAATGGGCTAATCCAACCTTGATACTATAAACTGGTTAGAGCAATGTCCAAAACTTTTCTGGGTTATTAAGATATTAGTTATTAGTTAGTTAGTTAGTTATTAGTTATGAAGATATTATTCTGGGCACGTTCTATCAATGATTGTAAAACACCCTGATATTAACCTAAATGAAAATTCAACCCATTTGACTTATTATATATTCAGTTAGGAGAATATTTTTCAGTAAAATCTATTTGACTTTGACGAGTTTAATACTGAAAAATGCTTTCACTCCAGCTAGTGACACAAAAGTGATTCAGTTTGAACCTTCTGATTTCATGTTGGATACAATGAACGAATTCATGCGTTAATTTTTATGGCTTGGTATTTTAAATACCTTTCACTGACACTCATTAAAATTGCAAATAAAAAAATAAAAAAGCTTTAGATTGATTACACTGTCAATATTGCCCATCAATCTCTGGCTAGGCAAAGGTTCAGTAAAAATTGACAGTAAAATATCCGAATCAGAAGACGTGCAACTAGTGTAGAGTTAAGTGCTGTAAATTCTTCAGTGAAAATTCAAGGTATTATTAAAAGATTGTACAAGTTCTGGCTTTTAAAACCATTGCCCGTAAACGTTCGTAAGCCGTTTTAATTACTGTTTTCTGGCTGCCCATTTGGATAAAGGAGTAGAATGAAGATTGGAATGTTTAGAGTAAAGTCAAAGTGAATTCTTATAGACTGGGCTTGAAAGAATAATGAGTAGATGCACGAGCGCCAATGTTTGCTACATAGAGCCATATAGCTTAGTGTCTCTAACCACCGGTAACCATAATCTCGGGGTTCTCGTTTATGGGAAGCAGTAAGTCCCGAGACTTGGAGCAGCAAACCACATAAGGTCTTGCCAGGATAGGCGTGGTATGAAACCGAACGGCAGCAAAGCTGCATAACACCAAAGTTTGGTGTCGGTGATGGGGATTGAATCTCAAATCATAGGGTCCAAACCATGCCGGTGACTGAGACTAAACCAATGCATCATCATTACCGAGCATAGACTTCAAACCAAGCCAGTTTGTGCTGAAGATTCTCATTGCTTAAAAGAGTTCAATAATCACTGTCTTCTTAAAATTGTTTAATTTCAGTGTGACAAATACGTGAATAGTAATCAAGTTCAAAATTACCATTAGGCCTTGGAGGCTCAATCTTGCATATGATCATTTGACTACACCTTTAGCAATGAATCAAACAAGTCTTAAGATGCTCCTTAGTGTTTTAAACAGTGAATTCTATTCAAGCTCGCCATACGCAGTCCCATTAAAGCTCATATAGACCAGTTTACGACATGTTGAAGAGGCATAAGGAAGTCAACATAAGCTCTGTTCTGTGTAGGTTTATATTCACTTCCCGATTTGGGCCAAAACATTCATAAATTTATCTGATTAGAAACGTTGAATGACAGGACTCGTAATTAGCCTCGATGATGCGGTTGTTTTAGCCTTTTTTCTCCTCCCCAAATTATTACGAAATATCTTACAGTAAGACCAAAATGGCCACAATGACAAAAGGAAAATAGTGACAAAATTGACAAAATCTTTGATTCTTTTTATTACGCAACTGTTTCCAATCGTATTCTTCCTAATGACTTTTGTTCTCCCTGCTTACCCTCTACTAAGCCACGATTGGCTTAACGCACAGTTTTAAGCCAGAGCACTTGTGTAACATTTATTTAATCGATATGAAGGTTTCAGACGGGAATAAAGAAATCGATAGCTATGCATCAGATGAGGGTCAAAGCTGAGTTGGAATCTAGTATTCAATTGCAAAATGGTGGCTTTAGTTATGGGACACAAAATTAGTCATATTTAAAAATACACAAACTGAAACTCAACTTTTGTGTAGTAACCTAACACCAGCTATTGTGAAAAATATTGTTCACCCCCTTGAAAAATCTGTCTCCGTTTCATATACGTGCATGAACGCATGTTTGCGTTAAATTCTGCACAAAATATGGCGAAAGATATTACAAGAACAAATATTTCTGTTGGGATTGTGAAAAGTTCAGTAGCCCCAGTGAGATTTGAACCCACGCATGAACACTGCCTACGCTTTTGTACGGCGCACGCTCTACCAGCTGAGTTACGAGGCCACACCGACAGCACTGATCTTTTCATATTCGAACTACCCAGCCAAATTACAGAGGCATATGGCATCCACCAATTAGCGTGTAAGCTGGTTGCTCATTTGCACAAACATTTCTGTCCCAGACGCAACAATACCACCAGTCAGCTGCTTAAATGTATGCAGTGAAAGTTTGTTTGGATTAGTTTATAGTTAACGAGCCAGTTTGCGTAGAAAAAAGAAACACTTATTTTCCGAGATAAAATGGAAGAGAGAAAGAGAGAGCACGACACAGTTAAGTTGTGCAATTTATGCTCTAAGGTAGATTTCGCTGCATTTCAACTGGTACAGTACGGCAGAAATCTACAGTTTATATCGTTGGACAGTACATCAGTTTACACACAAATACGACAGAGACGAAACATCACACTTTTA